ATGGAAGTGTAAGGGCCTAAACATGACAATGACAGATGCTTGAAGCTATTTCCTTTTCACATAGCTAATTTCTCCATCATTTGGATATAGTTCTAATTAAGTCCGAGCTGGATGTCTTTTTAAGATTGAGATGAACAGTGGATGATATCGATCGCTACACAATGGGATATTTTCTTATAAATTCTATTATTATAGCAAAAGTACAAGCCTGTTAAAGCTGATATACAAAGCACCGAAAGTCTTTCAAAAATACTACTTTGGACAGCGTCTGCTTTGCGTTTGTTAGCAGGACTGCTATCTGAGGAAAAGTTACTAAACTGAATGATCATTGGTTAATTGGGGTGATCCCATTAGTTACACTTAATCGGTTCCTTTTAAACGAAATAAAAACTGTGAAAAAATGAATTAAATTTTAAGATTTTATACTTAACTACTTCAACAGGTAAGACTAATTTGGATGCGTTGAAAGTGATCCATTGATAGACGATAGAAAAGCACAATCTCATTAAAAATTTTTCCATGCAGAAAGTGAAATATATTGGTTGTAGAATGTAAAATGATATATGAATGAAAGACTGAAATGCTCCCAAAAATTTACAATATAGTTCTGGATTTTTACATTGACAAATATACCCACCAATATGGTTTAATTAATGCATTCTAGATGACGATACACTGGTCAGTATTTGTAACGTAGTAAATGATTCAACATACATCAATGCATCAGCAATTCATGACTGCGATCCGAAACAAGCTAATTACATCGCCACACAATCACCACTTCCAGAAACCATTGCCGATTTCTGGCAAATGATTTGGGAACAAGTTAGTCATGCTTTCAGATTATCCTTAAACTTAATCTAGCTGGATTATCAATTGATCGTTTTGTATCATCACTTCAATACCCCTCTCTGTTTCTATCGTCCTTGTATTTCACAGTAACTCTCTTTAAAGCGAACTTAACCTTTCTCGCTTATCACCTACTATCAGTTATAGCCATCCCGTGCCTAAATACATCTTAATCTTATTACCTCAAGTTTTCGTCATTATATCATGGTTACATTGGGTGTTGCTCCAATGATTGATAATATCATAACTTTTATTTTCAAATTTCATTTTTTTCATTCATAAAACTACCTGTAGTATCAAGTAGACATTTCAAAAACATGGGAAGTTAGCTAACAAGAGATAAGCTAGGTATAAATTTGAGCCTCCTGATATCTAATTTCACAAGTTACATTCCTTTAATTGATGGCGGAGAGCATGGGAAGTAACCATAAAAAACGAAATAAGTTAACAAAACTAATTTAAAAAGTGCATAGGGTCAAAATTCAATGTAAGACACAAACTATTTATTCAATAATCAAGGTTATGTAAAAATTCAGAAGTGGAAAAAATTTCTTTCGACGTCACCATGTTAAAGATTTAGACAAGGCTTATGCGTTATTATGATAATAAATCAGTCAAGTAATTTTTCCAAATTTAATGAGTCAGCCACTCTTTCCCTTGATTTCAATGTATATCTTGATTTAGTACATTTAATTTTTGCACTGGTAATTTGCAAATTATGTGCTTCAATATATACAATTATTTTGTGTTTTATAAATGTGAATTTTAATTTCACGGTGTATTTTGGTGTGACATATAAAAATGTGACATGATCTCGCAGAGATAATATTTTAAACCTCAGGCTACTGTGCTGATTGTGAACCTAGCAAACAACAATGACCAAGAAGAAGGACAATGCCTCAAATATTGGCCTGAAAGTGGTTCACAAATATATGGATCTTTCGAAGTTAGTTTTTTATTTCAAATTTGTTAAAACACTTTTTCCTGTGCTGAAGGAAAATAGCGAATAGGACAAATTGAGCTAAAGAGAGTGAACGAAAGAAATTTATGTAAAAAACATTGCTTCTGGACAAGTAACAAGATTACATATTAATATGAACGTGTTACACTTCACGTACATAACGTTTTCATATTTATCTAATAGTTCTGTCATTTGAGCAAATCATGATGCAATGAGTCAAATTGAAGAGCATCTGCGTCAATTTCACACTTAGTTACTCGTAAAGTATGTTGCAAATTTCAGTTTTTACAAGAATCCCAAAATTAATGTTCGGTAAATGGAGCTCCAGAACATTGTGCTATCATTCATAACTTTGAAAAGAACATGAGAGAACAAGGATGCACCGTTACCTAACAAAGCATTTATTGGCGAAAATATTAATTTTATATAATTTTCTGCAGATTCATTTGGTATCGGAGCACATTTGGAGCGAAGACTATTTAGTGCGATCATTTTACTTAAAAAATTTGAGAACGAACGAGACTCGAACTGTAACTCAGTTTCACTTCTTGACATGGCCCAAAAGTGGAGTTCCACCGAATACAAAAGCTCTACTCGATTTTCGCAGGTTCCGTTTTAATAAGCCTATAACTTCCCCAAAAAACATAGCAACTTCAACATCTGCTTTAAACTGTCTAAATAGAACACTAGGAAGTATGTGAATGTATCAGTCAAAAAAATTTGACGATCCGATTTAAAGACTATCCTCATCGCAGTCAGCGACTGATATATTTTTTTTAATATATGTATCAGTTTTTCACTGATATTTTTAAAAATTCTTTCAAGCAAATAAATTGTTCCGGCTTCCTGTTCTGGATGGCATTTAAAACCGGAACTTCACATATCAAAGACAGCGTAGAGGTCATCTTTTATCCGCTGCACTTTAGTATTGTCGGAAAAGTGATTCCAGCGTTGTTCGTAAGGACACAAATTGAACAAACATTTCAATCGTACTATTTTGGTAACAGTATCTGTTGACAAATAACCGATTGTCTGCATATTTCATTTTCACCACAATTTTCCTGGATAAGACGCCTCCACTCGTCGATCATTTTTGTGGATTAGCAATTTTGTTCTCGAATAATTGCATAGTCACAAAAGTGATGGACGGGAAGCGTCGTTCGTTCCACCAACCATCGTTATCCTTCTTACATTTGACCTTTCTCTGCTCCCATACATATACATACTACTGACCATAACAGTGAATTTTTTTTTATCCTGTGAAAAACAGAAAATTCAATCAGCAGAAAAAAAAATTTCACTTTTTTTTATTCTGTTGTCGAATTGTTTTTAGTTTTGAGCGATCTTGCCAATGTTGTATTCAAATTTACGTGAAGGATTATCATTGTAAAAAAAAAAGAGGAAAAGCGCGGAAGGAGTCGTACTGTAAAACATGCATGTGATAAAATTCTGTAGCGTAAGAAATTTTATATAGATTTTTCCATCGCCACGCTTGTATATGCTGAAATACAAGACAAGATTAAGTAAATTACACGTCAGTCACATTTCGAAAAGTTTTTAGAAATTAAAATAAAACTTTATGGCAGTTTTGCAGAAAGATCAATAAATCGTATCGTGGACGGGCAGCCCCAATCGTTGTACATTGTACGGATGGTATCGGACGAACTGGTGCATTCTGTCTGCTCGATATGATACTGAATCGAGTTACCAGAGGTATAATTTTATCACGAGTTATTTGCAAATCAGAAATATTTAGTTGAATATACAGTTATGTTCAAAAGGTCAGTCTATTTGTTGTTTATTACCCAACCATTAATATCCAAATATGCAGACTAATAATATCAAAAAAATTGCTTTAAGATCCAGAAAACCACGTAACGTATTGAAATTAATAATAACTGCGGAGATTTTGTTTAAGGTGCCATCTAAAAATAGCTAAAACATAGACCGCATCTGAAAATCACCATAAATTCAAGAAAAAAAATTTTTACAGGTGTAAAAGAACTGAATGTAGCAGGTTCACTGGAGCATTTGCGTGATCAGCGTCCGGGTTTGGTGGAAACTTGCGAACAGTACAAGATGGTATTCGTCTGTTTAGCGGAAGAAATTACTGCTATTATAGCTACATTGTCATAATAAAACGCAAAGCAACAATGACAAAAGCAGGAACAGGAATAACAATAACAACAGTAACAATAATACTTACGATCACAATAATTTGGCCACATTTACACCAATAACACTAAAGATTCTTTTTCCTTTTTGTTGTTCCTGGTTAATAACTTGCAAACAATGCTTGCTGAAATTATAATCTATTTTTTTCCTTTATTTATCACTGATCTCCGTGGATATATGACTCCATTTTTTCTCTCTTACCAACAGCTGAATACTAACATAATCGACAAATGCTCGATGGTATAATCAAATGAATGCCGTGTTACTAAGATGATAAAGCAAAATTCAGTTGTGTAGCGATCGCAACAAAATAGATGTATGTCACAATGCATTTGACAAGTTAAAAATAGCGTTTTCGATCGAAGTGGAACAATTCCGCAAAAGTGCTCCACGAACATTGGCATTTTCAGTAGCAATAAAGGAAGGAAAATTATTCTAACCATCTGATAGTTTCGCCTTTTTCCCTTTGATGTATCATTCAGTACTATGATAGTTTGTTCAGTGATTACAATCAGAACTTTCGATTAACTCAAATTTCCCATCCAGAACTTTTCAGTTTGCAATATGCAATAGTTATCCCCACTACAGTTTAAGAGTATTAACTGGGAGGAATAATTAAATTATTGCTATTGGCAATTGAATGATATGAGGGTGAACTTTTCGCAACTTTTCCAGGTATTGAGTAATGTTCTTTCTGCTCAAACTAGAACCTTTACATGATAGGAAAAGTACTTCTCGTAATCAATCATTTAATTCAATAGACAGCAGGCGACAATAATATCCTGACAACAAAAAGAAAAGAAATTGCCAAATATCATTTTCAAACTTAACTGATAAAGTCATTGATCGATTGGTGCGAAGTTGTCTTCTTGTCTGGTGAAGTTGTCCTTTACATTCTCACTACCACTTCAAAACGTTAGGATAATTACTTTAGATCATTGAATATAATGAAAAGTTGGGATGTTAGTTATGTCATCTTGCTAAACAGTATCTCTTTACCAGTAAACAAACTGGGGAGTTACCGGGAAGAAGGAAGCCGATATCAGTGATAATATATCGTGGAAGTTCTTGGAATTTAATTACAATTCCAATTTGAAATAGGCCGCCAAATCAATGTTGTCCAGAATACCTGGGATGAGTTTGTTGCGCAATCATACCGCGTTGCAAAAAGTATTCATATATCTGACAATATGATCGGTCTCGGCGATGTCACAGAATTAGGAGGATGGGATGTGGTGGTATTCGTATTCGTGGTTTACGTGATTTGTGTAGTGTTCTTGAAGAAGTCCACAAAAGACGTACGTCCGGATGAGGGAGAGGAAGAGGATGCTCCGGATGGTCTTCCACCCATGCAGAAGAGGGATTTCACTGTGGAAGAGTTGCTACCATTTGACGGCGTACGAAATGAACGAATTCTTATGGCTATTTGTGGGACGGTAAGATTTAGATTCTTCTGGAATTCTTAACCACACAAATTTGATACCGCTTCTGTGTTGGTAGGTTTGGCATGATTATCCGAACCAATACTGTATGGTCATGACTCAATTTTTATCGTTTAACCAAATGGTTGGACTAATTATCTCTCTAATTTTTTATTCATGTTTGGTTCGAAATTTATTTTGTTCCACAAAAAACGAGAGTAAAGTGGAATTATTGGGAAGAGGATCCAACTCATCAGCCGAACACTGCATCGCAGTATTTAAAATGGAAGTTCTAATCTATCCTCTGATTCTACTCATGGTGCCATATTATGCTAAATAACTGAAACTAGTGGTTTTGGGAACGAAAAGTTTTGTAGGTATTTGATGTGACGAAAGGAAGCTTATTTTATGGCCCTGAAGGTGCATATGCTAAATTGGCAGGTCACGATGCGACGCGAGCATTGGCGACGATGGACGTCACTTTGGTCAAAGATACTCCAGATGACCTAAGGGACGTTTCGGATTTGGATCTTAATACAGCGAAAGAATGGATGCAGTCATTCATGTGTAAGTTTCATGGTTTATCTCATTTATCAGATTACTATATTTGCTTACGAATCGTAATTTTCAAAATGTTTAGTGATTTAAATTTCACATTTAGACGTATTAAATATAAATTTAGTTAACAAGCGAGCGATTGTTAGCAAATGCAATAATTAATGTAATTTATTCGTCAAAACTATCTGTTTATCTGCTTAATTTCTACTCCCCAGGAGTATGTAGTCAGATTAATTTTATTGCTGCATATTTCCTTGTTGTAGACAAATATCCTGTTGTGGGGAAATTGCTGGCCGAGGGCGAAGAGCCGACCGATTACAAAGACGAATTTGCATCGTTATAAACTGCTCAGAATTCTAATATCATCCGTAAGATTAAGATGTCTCAAATTTGCTTACGACTGTTTTATTGGAATAACCATTATATTTACTGTTCTGTAAATTTTATTACAAATTGTTATCGTTGCTTATTTTATCCATGGTGTTGGGAGAGGAACCACCTAATATGAGTATCTGAGTTACTTGTGGTGCATCGGGTTGTACGTTGTTTTTCATTACCTCTCACTTTCACATGTTGCTTATATCCTTCTTCTCCATTTTGTTGCAGTTATTTTATTACTGATACTAACATCTGTCATCTTCTACATTAGCTTGAATTCATCAAAATTCCGAAATAAACGATTTTTAATACTTCTTTGGCGTGATGTTATTAGCGTCCCAAACTTCGGTCCTCGTTACATGAAATACATGTAATTTTAATTTAAAAGGACCTTAAATCATATAAAACAAAGGAGCATATTCGAAATGAAGGTAATATTGTATGCGAGTTATAGTTGAAAGCGTCGAGTTCGTTGTGTTTCAATTTCAGTGCATTCTTATTATCGATTTACTGTCCTTGTTTCAACGATCTTTGATTCAAGGAGAGATATGGCGTTTATGTATCCGATGCATTTTCCGGCAGTACCATTACGATGGGATGAACCAGCATGGGCAATTCCTTGTACAGATGCGGTTGATGAAGTTTTGCTTTCAAGGCTAGAATCACGTCTTAATGCACAGGTGATCGATTCGCTTTCATATAACAATAAGTGTAGTTCTTCCACTATGTATGGTTTCTTTTTTCTACGCAAAAGAAGAGTCTTCTTGAATTCATTTTAGTCTGTATTTACGCAAATGCGTTCTGTACCAAATGTTATCTCTGGAAGCACTTTACTGCAAGAAATAGATGATTTGGAAGAGATTGACGAAGAAGTAGCTGATGAAGACGATGAACAGAATCAATAATTTCACCCTATTTCCATATGAAATTTTTGTTTGACTTCAGACATCAGCACGCGTAGATCATTTATTTGTTCTACTATTTCTTAATTTAAAAGAGAAGAAAAACTTTCAAATTCAGTCATGCTTTGGAATTTTTTGAGTGGATTAAGGAGGAAAATGATGTATAAGAAGTTCTGTGTCATTTCTTCATTTTTTTTTTTTAAAGTTCTTAAATGTTGAGGATCTTTTGAAACAGTTGATCTTATTGTAACCCTGTCAATATCAATATGTACGACGTTCTCCGAACAATCATGAGCTGATGCTACTTCAGAAAATATATTGAACTTTTTCATCTTGCAGACAGATGCTATTTAATGAGTGAGTTTATTCTACTCATAGGATTGTTTCAAAATTAAGATCTAGGCGACGACCTGTCTAATGGCTACATTAGCATGATTTAACGCTACTGCACTGGCCATTATTCCTTTCATGTCATAACTTGTATGAATGGGTTTCATAATTGCTTTTCAAGACGAAAGTACGTGTAGTAAGTCAGAATTATGAGTTATTACTCTAATCACTGGCCTGCTGCATTGTATTAAATGAATGCCAACTTTTTCCTCTTTTCCTAATGTCCTCTGTTATGAACAGTGGCAATTGTGTGCCATTTCAAACCGGTAGGATTGATCGGCCAACGTTTATGCTTTATGTTATCCCGCTTATTTTTAATAAAGGCAGGAGAAACGAACATGAGATTGAGAATAGAGAAAGTCGTTCATAGTAGAGGAACAAAGAAAATAATTGGAAGATAGGAGAGAGAATAGATTTTAAGTCTTATATCGTGATCCAATTTTAAGCAGTGTATGCTTTATTTGGCTTAATTACAGTACAAAATAAAAGGATTTCATGGCTGTTGCGAATCATTACAGAAGTTATGAATAGAATGATGTATGCTCAGATCAAAGATTGGAAATTAGTAGTTTACTTAAGAATAACAGTTACGAAATACGAATACGAATATTAACGAATCGCATGTGCTAGTACAAGTTAACTATAATTCCGACAGTTAAACTTCATCTAATAAAATAATATCTATCACAATGAGACCAAATCAAAACTTCTTTTTTGAAACAACAAAATCAACGAACAGAACGAAACATTTGTTCCAAATTAAATAAAGGTATACATAGACTAGTATTTGGGTTCAGACGTAACTAAGAGATGTGAATCGCAGTCATCAAGATATATTGCAGAATCTGCTGTTTTGTATTTTCGAAATACTTTTTTCTGCATTTGAAATCAATACTGCATATGTGCTAGGAAATAAAAAGTGCTAGATTGAATAATAAATTCTGTTATTTGCAATTATTTTTAAAAAAAAATTTTTTCATTTAATGACCCTTTCTGTTCCCCACATCTTCATTTATGCACACATATTGCCTGAGAATGAGAAGTCCAATAGATAAAGTGGTTAGAGTGAGATGGAAAATTACAAACTTTATTCAACAGCTACTTTAATTTAAAATCTCCTTAATCTGATCCTAAAGGTACTTCTTCCGTCATTGCTACTCACGTCAGCCCAGATGTCTTCGGAAGTACAAATAAGGTTTACATGAGAAAAGCATTTCGCTAAAATTATTGCAGCAATCAGAGATTATACTCCAGAATCAAAGGAAGTTGTTCGATTCAAAAGCGCTTTCGTAACGGATGTTATACGTTCATTATCCTCCAGCATTGGATCATGATTTACTCCATATATTTTGATTGCTTTACGGCCCATTCTTTGCAATAACTCGGAAGATACCCGATGAGCAGTTCTAAGTGAGGTGTGCCATTCACCTAGCGATATTTCATCCTAAAATTGTTGGAGTTTGGTTTTGAATTTAATTCAAATTTCGCAACTGTTCAAATTTAGTATGTTAAGCCTCAGGATACTGAAGTCTCAGTATCTTGGACTTTGTAGGACGTAATTAAATTTGAGCTGTTTCCAAATTCTTTTGAAAAATATATCCAGCAGAAGAAGATAGAATGAGTGAAACATAAGTAAACCTGATTAGTAAGAATCAGTTTTGTCTCTTTAAAACCCTCTTTCAACTTTATCACCACTGAATGCTCTCCTTTGACATTATGTAAATCTACAGCGACATCCTCAATTTGATCCATAAATACTAGCTGAAATCATTACTTGAATGTCAAATTAAAAAAAAAGAAAAACATTACTTAAGGTCAGTTAAAACTTAAAATGGAAAGTCAAGATAAAAAGTGGAAAAATTCTAAATTATTCAAGATTTATGATTGTGTGAAAAAAATTTTTGCAGAAAATCTGTTAAAAAATAATTTACACATTTTTTGCATCGTTCCTACAACGAATTCATAGTCAAATTCCGTTACTCTTGTAGACGAGAAAATAATATGAAAGTAAGTAAATTATTATTTACCTCCGGTTTACCATTAAGTGATTCCGGGTAAAGCTCAAGTCGACTTGGGTAAAGTTTTCCATAACGAGTTTGCCATGCAGATGTAAATGGTCCACCCAGTTTTTTGATATAACCATGTATGATTACATCCGAATCTGAAAGAAAAATAATAAATCACTGGTTTATATCGTTTTATTATCTAATTAAACTTCTCACCTTTTTCATCACTACCAAGTTTAGCTCGTTGCTTAGCTCGTTTCTTACTCTCAGCTTTATCAGCATCCTGATTTACCACTTCGAAAATTGTATCTGCTATTTCATTCTGCCATCGTTCCGAAATTGTTATATTGAAATCTTTGTACAATCTACTGTCGGTTTCGGTTAGCTAAAGGAAGAATTCCTTGAAATCATTATTTTCAAATTGATAAACTTAAAAATAATGGAATTACGAGTAATATATAAATCGATGGTTAACAAGAAAATTAGTATTAAAATAATATAACAGCAATTATGATGATGGAAAATCAATAGCATATAATAGCATATGTACATCCGCAATCCTCAGAAAAGTTCAGGATTCAGGATTCGATTTGGTCTAATCGATTTAACGTACGACAATATACAATAACATCTCCAGTTATATGAAGTTTTAAGAATACAATGTCACAATGCTAAAGAATCATAATTAATTTTATTTAATCCGACATTTTGCGAAGATTAAATTTAGCAGGAAAAGGATATATACATTGATAATTACTCAAAATCTATTGAACCCTTTTTTAATTATTTCCATTTTTTGTTTCTGATTGCTCAGGATTTTCTAATTTCTGGAACTATTCCAAAAGTCAGCTTTCCATCTAAATAATTCATGTTAATTGTTGTCTTAAAATGTATCAAATTAAATGAAAGCTTAGGCAAACTGAAAAGCAAAACAAAAAGGAAGCCTTACTTTAATACCTTTCACTTCATCATCGTCAAAATTACCAATGTCAAAAGCATCGGCTGCATTTACTTCACCTCTTGGTGGTATAATTGGTGGTGGCATCCGTCTTAAATATACCGTTTGCCAATCTATCGAAACAAAAAATGGATGTTCTTTCACTTCTTCTGGCCTGAAATACTATTTAATTTAGGATTCCATGAACCGACTACTGTATCGAGAGTTCTTTTTAGATATATGCATATCTCTTATTTAGCTAATATCGGGTCAGATGAGCTAACATTATGGATCTCTTTTGCAAAGACTATCTATCCTAAAATCATATCCCCGCAAGTAGTCAAAAGATCTCCCGAACCATATTGGCCATCCGAAACATTCAGCTCTTCATTCTAACTTTCTTTGCTTTCATTTTTTTAGCAAATATTTTTTGATATTATAAAATATATTTTTTTATAATTTGCTGTATATAATTGCGAAATTTTCATTAATTTCTTTATTGCCGCGGGTGTATTATATTGGTATACCCGTCCCCCGTCCTTCAGTAGTCTCGCAAATTCACTTTTGATACTGTTCGTTTATCTATTTTTCCACAACACAAACCCCCTTCCATGGCATCCAAGCCTATCCGGAACATTATGTTTCAGTAAGCCTTCTATCAAATCTCGGCATTCCGGTGAAAATCCAGCATCAGAGAGATCAATATCATGAGTTATCAACATTTTCTCCGTATCATTGTTCTGCAAAACTTTGACATATATAGATAATGTTTTAAAATCATATTTTCCTAAAAAATTCCTGATTTTTTTGAGTAAAGCGTCTGAAGACAAATTGAAATAAAACAATTTTTTTCATTTAAATAATAATTTATTAAAATTAGTATTCTCTGGATCATTCATACAGCGACAAAATACCAATTAACAAAGTACCCAATCTTTATCCATCCTTTAATTTCAGCTAATCTTGGCTTACTTGAAAGCTTTTAAGATCATTCAACTATTTCTCATAAGATAGCGTAATAAAATGGAATATTGAAATGGTGCATTGAAAAATACATTCAGTCTGAATAAATATATTCAAACATTTCAATCATTTTTACCTTAATGCCCGGCTTAGAATTATGCTGCCGGAAGGGACTATGTCCTTTGAGCAGTTTATATAGCATGCAGCCAAATGAGAACCAATCAGCGGAAGAATCGTACGCAACACCTTTTGCAAGCACTTCCGGAGCCATATACCCGTGCGTTCCGCTGTAATACATTTATTCTCAACGATGAACTAGATCTTCATAAGAGAATTTCATATCGTCAAGCATTCCTTAACACTTATTAAGCTTGGCTAACAAATAATTGAGCAATACTCTGGTAAAGACACTTACACACTGGCATGTGGCTTCTTCTTCGAAAAATCACATGCTAGACCAAGATCGGAAACACGTACGTGTCCATTTTCATCCAATAGGATGTTAGCCGGTTTCAAGTCTCGGTACACTACAGAACGATTATGCATATGCTCCAAGCCAAGGATTACTTCTGCTGCATAAAATATTACCTCACATTCTGCAATGTATCAAAAAAACTCGTAGTTATGATGAGTAGAAATACGCCTGTTCAGCTCATTTGCTAATAATGACAATAAATGATTGACTAAGCTACCAGGCTACTTTTTAATCTAAATTTAATCCTCCGGCAAACATCATATCTTTTAATTAGCCCAATGAAAACTTTTGTAATATTCAACCACTACAGTTTTTAATTTTACGATGAGATGAAATATCCAGATAGGTAAAAATTTCTGTTTATATAATCGGAAGGAAAGCATTTACTGGAAGAAACAAAAGAACTGAGAAGTAATGTTGAACTTACCGGAAAAGACACCATGTTGACTGAGGTGATAATGTAGATCGCCACCATTCATGAGATCAAGTACAAAACACAGCTTATCAGGTGATTGAAATGCATATGTCATACAAACAATAAACGGACAGTCTTTCTAAATATTTTAACAAGAAAATATTTCAATGTGCAGTAATGAATTTGAAAATTGTCATTGTTTGTTTGAAATTTTAATCAAAAAAAAAACTATCACAATTCTTTATTCAATGGACAATTGATTGATCAGATAGTTGTGATTAAGGTATGAAAAACAAAGATATGAAAGCTTAGATGGAAACGTAATTATGCAAGTGATCAAATAAAGCAAGTATAATTAAATAATCGAGAAAAAAAAATAAGGAGGTGAACGAGTTTTCCTAGTTTTGTTCCTATTTTATTTTGATTTTTCTATTTTACAGTTATTTCTATTCCAGTATATTATTTCAGCTTAACATAAGGAATAATTCAAATATTCAAATCCTATAAATTGTCCAAATGATGAGAGTCAAGAAAACACTGCAACGGGAGAGGAAGAAAAAGAAACATTATTATCTGGGATTTTGATCGATCCTAATGGTAGACCCTTTGCATTTTCTCTCTTGAACCATTAAAGTTGACAAGAAATGTGATGATATACTTTTAAAATTCATTATTTCAATAGCTTTCAATCATTTCATATTTTTTACCAAATATTTTTCTTGATATAAAAAATGCCATTTTTAAAAGGGAAAAAAAAAATTAATTTCATCCTATGAATTTATCCATCATCATTTCTTCTCTTCAAATTATATTTTTGTTTCAATTAAAAGTATCATTTAATAAGATTATTTTTAGTACTATTAATAGACACAAGCAATAAAATTATTTGAAGTCTGGGAATTTCTTCACACATCTTATCCTATTTCCTGAATTTTTCTATTTCCGGATTTTTTTTTTGGATTTAGAAAAAGATATAAAAGCTTACTCCAGTGCTAACAAGACTAAGCATGATACGTTCATTAAGTGCAAGCGTTTCACCTTGTTTCATCTTAATCCTTTTCTTATCCAAACATTTCATTGCATACCTGACAAAAAAAAAAAAAAAAAAGAAATAAGTTCACTTAACTTGTAAATCATCATTGAATGTATCATTTATATGACAAATGTCTATTAAGAAACAAATTGATACCAAGTTTCAAGCTTTCATTTAGGCAATTAATACATCCAATTAATTGCATTTCTAAAAAGTATGCAGCTGTTAATCCAATACATTAATACTGCAAAACAATGTTTGACTTTTAACTAAAATTAACGCTCAGATTTTGTTTTTTTTTTACTATTTTTATTCTTTTCAATTTTGAAACAAACAGATGTATTGGATGCGAAATGGGAGATCTGTTAATAAAGAAATGAAATTAGCCAAATAATCCAAACATATAGGCATTAGGGTAAGCCAAAAGAAAATGAAAATGAATCAAGCTAGGAATTAGAGCTTAATGCATGTAAATAAAATATATGCAACTGGAAGTGTATATATTATTTGCAAATAATGTTCCTAGATGTACTTATAACAAATAATTACATTTTGCCTGTATCTGCCTTACGGCATCCATATACCTCACCAAAGCCGCCACGTCCAATTATTCGATGTACCGAAAAATCGTTCACTGATAATTGCATATTCAGCTCTAAATTTTTCCACTGACAAAATCGCGTGAATTTATCACTGAAATATTAATGAAAGAGGCAAAAAATGAATGTGAAATTTAAACTTTAACATCTAAATTTTGAAATATTTTCATCATAACAAATAGCAAACATGGAAGAGACAATGTATCACCATTTATCTGGATCATGGATTTTACTCCAATCAAAAGAAACTACTATAGCAGTACATTGTCTACTTCTCAGGCTATTTTTTTCGGGCCTAATATAGAGAGAGTGAATGATTAAGGCTATTCGTTCATGGCTTATTACTTTATGAAAGAAATCAAACTTCAAATATTATTTCAAAAATTAGTTCATAACTATGCCAGACTATAGCATAATAGTATAATATATTGATACTTAGAAGAATAACTCTATCAGAGTTGGTTTATCAGAGCCTTCCGCAACTGATATTACAACATACTTTGACTCATCCAAATTCATTATCAGTACTAAGATATTTTATGGATTGTATAACAGTTGTGAAAGAAAAAAAAAAGGTAAATTGTTAGACAAAATGAGCAGGAAGTGGAATTCCGTAAAATTCAGATTAATTTTTCACATTTAAAATCTCAAACATGAATTGCAGTCTTTCCACATTTACCATTTCAACAGACATAATTACTTACCTTTCTAAGAATTTTTGAAAGATGTCACCTTTCAATTGTTCGTATATTTCAAGCACATATGGCTGAAATCATATTTTATGCTATCAAATTAATTACATCATTCAAAAGGCTAAGGATGCTATTCAAGTTGTCGAATTCATCAGATAAGCTATTATGATTAGCTAAGGATATTATCAAATCCGTCGAACTTATCAAATGGATTATCAATATATTATCACTGCATTATCACCTATCATTATATTTAATTTTACCCATCAATATTTCCTATTCTTATGTTCGATACTTCCACAACTATACAATATATCATGCTCTCAGAGTTAATCCTTATTATCTGATGAATTTATTGAAATTAACGAGAATGTTCGATAGCAATGTGTCGTACTTCTTCTTTTACCTATCTATAATGAAATTTTTTTTTTTTCTCGCAATGTTACCTGAAAAAGATCCGGTTGTACGTTGTTTTTCATTAAATTCCTTTGCACATGTTGTAAAGAGCTTTTTGAGTAATTCTGTAATAAAGTATACCGAAATTTATGGAATCTTTTAAGGAAATTAAAATTAAATAAAGTGAAATCATACTCAAATTATTTCAAAATTTAGTAAAGTCCGATATTTGCATAAGTTTCAGTAGTATTCCACATTTGGAGTCACAGTAATTCCACTTGTCAAATTGTGTGTTTTCAAATTAAACTTGTTAAATATAATTATTCCTAATCGATTGGAAAAAGGAAGCAATGGGACCTTCCTCTTCCTGATTCTGAAATGACAATTTTATTGAAACCAGTATTTGCCAGACCTTACACTTCATGAAATCCATGACACATGCAATAAGCATGCATTTCTTTCAGTATACAACAATGTCCATTCGTACATTTTGTTTAATCACGATGACAAATTCAACTTCAAATTAAAGAAACGTTTTAGAGGAAAAGATAATTTTGATAAAAATTTGATCAAATTGTAATATATCAGTTATTAAAAATGACAATATAATTTATTTGTTAAATTTCGCTTAAAACATTTATACATGTGAATGGGCAAGCATTTCGACCATAATGTTGTGATCATAGATTTCACGAGCTTTAATTAAACGCTCTTCGGCAGTTCCCATCTTCTCATATTCCTTTATCTAAATAAAGATATATCAATATTACTGATAATCTCTATCAATTATCATTTGGTAATGAGTGCTGTAGATGAAATCTGAATAATTTCCTTTTATATTTTAATCAATTATTGTATAAATTTTATCTTTTATATTCTCAATGAATAATTAGAGTAATCTCAAAGAGAAGCATCTAGAGAAGTTAATTTATCAAAGATTAAAATCAATGAGGTGAGATAATAATGTTAACTATCGCTTATAAATGTATCATTTGAAATTTAAAAGATATTTTGGATCGATGTTTCGATTATTACTATTATTAAAGTAGTATTTTAATAAAATTGATTTAAAAAGAAAAAAAAGTCACTCTTGCAATTAAATGGACAAATTCATATGAAATGTAAAAGTTGTAGGTGAAAAGATCTAGAAAGAAAAAAGGTAAATATGTTTACCGCTTCATAAAATTTAATTTGTGGACATGCCGTTTCACAAATATTGTCCGCAAAATCTTTTAGCAATAAAAAGCCTAAGCGTTGACTGAATATCCGCTCGAATTTAATTTCACCCGTTTTCTCCAAATACTTTTGCATAATACTTCGAACACTGCAAGCATAAAATCATACAAATAAACCAATGAATTCTGAATTTTGTTAATAAAACTTCATAAATTTCCTAAATTTTAAAATTTCAAAATTCAAATTTTGTAAATTTTAAATCTTCCGCAATTTGTTTCATTTTCTATCATAGCAAAATCATTGTGACAACAATTTTTATGAGATTAATCATCGATTAGCGTTAAATTTCTCGTCAAAAATTGATGTAAACAAATATACCTCGGATCCGGAAGAATAATCTTTTTGGATGCTCGCGCAGCTGGCTGATTTCTGGATTTCTCCATAGCCATCAAATAGCTTACATCTGCAAGAACAGCTTCGAGATCGGCCATTTTGATTTGTTGTCGTTATCGTTTGTGCTCTATTGTTTAAGTGCATAACAGGTATGCTAGAATTTTCCTCTGCGAATAGTTTTTAAGCATATTCTTACCAAATCCATATTGTTATGTTTGAACTGAAAAAAAAAAATAAATAAAAAAAAA